TTTTTTCTTTGAAGCAAAGTAATAAATAAAGAGATAAAAAAACATTTAGAGAAAGAAGGAATGCGAAGAACAGAGGGTGCTTTTGTTGTACGAAAGTCTCGAGGATAAACTGTCGATTCTAGCACGCACGCACGTGCAGTAAATCAAGACAGAACCGATACATATTTCTTTAGGTATCGTATAATAGTTATTCAGCAGGCCGAGTGTATCGGCTAAAACAACTGTGGATTTGGAGTGACATACTTTGGAATTGCACGAACATCCTACGCGACGTGAATATTATAACGTTCGTGGGCTCACTGAACCGCTTCGAATGTTCTCGTTGATTCCACGAAACTAGCACATGACTAGAAGACATGTGAACGATCGTGCAAATCGCGTTCCCTACCATGAGCTCTGTAGTCTGTCGAGATTGAGGAAACAGAAATATCGGTTTTTACCATGAATTACATCTGCATGTTCAGGTGTTAACCATCCATAGGGAACAATTAGACTCCGTAATTAAATCTAATTCAATTCAATATACTAGCTAATGTTTTACGAAATAAATAATCAGTGTACTATCATTTAACAAAAGTTTCAAACATGAAACGAGGTAACCCCATTTTTTTATCGCTCAACTAAGACGTGCAATACATGAATAGACAAATCTGAAAGTTGCTAAAGATATGCGAAACACAATGTCTTTAAGTAACAAAATATGTATAGACTATATAGCTGGATAACACTAAAAGATAAAGAATTGTCCAACTCAATTTAGTTCATTGTACATAGATATAAAATACTGTTATGATTTAAGAAAATATCACGTAAATTATATCACCGTATTATTAAACACGTAACCATAACTAAACCATTCCGTTATCTATTATTTATCAAATATTTAAAGCATATTGCTAAAACAGCTAAATGTCTAATATTGATCAAGGATATAAAAACTAAGTCGAATAACAGCAACGTCTGTAAAATACCATACATAATGAAACGTCTATTATGGGGAAGGAGCCTTAATTCCTATCATATACCAGAAATCTAAATATGCGGTTAAATAGCCATAATGTCAGATATTTACCAAAGATATAACACAGATCTCTGGAAACCACATTAGTATTATTATTTAATAAAGTCATTAAACAAAAGTATGGTTACGTAACTAGAGAATTCCATTTTCTATTGTTTACAAAAGGTATATATTATATTTCTCAAGCCTATAGCTGTATAACATACATTTAAACAACAACGATAGTTAGAAAATAAAAATAGCACTTTTTCCCTATCCCAATAATATCAAATAAACCGGAACAAAGCTATTAACCAAGAAAGTTATTAAACACGTAATTGGACAACTTCAGAGTATGTTAATAAACAAAGTTATTAAACACGTAATTGGACAACTTCAGAGTATGTTAACAAACAAAGTTATTAAACACGTAATTGGACAACTTCAGTGTATGTAAATAAACAAAGTTATTAAACACGTAATTGGACAACTTCAATGTATGTAAATAAACAAAGTTTTTAAACACGTAATTGGACAACTTCAGTGTATGTGTTCTTAAACAAAGCTATTAAGATGATGCCTAGTCAAGCACATTATCTATCGCTAACCAAAGGTGTCATCTAAGTTAATATCCTATATTATTGATAATAATATCCTATTATTACTCCAGAAACATTAAGATGATTTAGGGTATTTTGTGTGTTTATTAAGTTTTATTTTGTGTGTGTGTGTGTGTGTTTAGTATACAAAGAAATCGTGACACCATTTGTAAATGTTTTTTAATATATAATTTAATAGCTTTTACTATCTATTTTACACCTGATAATAAACTGAACAGATATGTAAATATATATTTATACACATTCCATATAGAGAAACACATTTTTTTATACATATCAACTACATAAAACTGTTCTTTTTTAATTATATGGCAATTTTCACCCCGCACAAATAGAGAGCTGTTATTGGTAGAAAACCAAAAAAAAAAAAAACACTTCGACAAACACATTGATAGACAGACACCCATAAAACACATGCTTATAATAGTCTATTATATTCGCTGAAGTGGGAGGAGGGTGTTTCTGTTATTGTTATCTTCACTTATTTTGAGTATGATTAGTGTAAAAACGTATTACACAGTTGGTTCCACTTACTTTGAAAACAGTGTTTTAGTATAAGTCTTCTTAGAATAAAAAAAAAAATTTTAAAGCAATTCCTTCATAAAAGGAATTTAGTAAAATAGTGAAAATATCGTACTTTCTCGTAACCGAAATAATTTTCGTTTGTTTCCTTCATCAAAGACAACGACACAACGTATTAAGTTTAAGGAAATGTAATAACACGATTCGTACTTTATCAAAAGCAGAACATAAAATCATTTTATTCTAATGTAATTTCATTAATAACAAGCTAGTGACGTTCAACTACAGAAGAAAATCGTATTTATTGAATGTGTAAAGATAAAAGTCTTATCAAGGTAGTTTTTAGTTCTCATTTACGCCGGTAGATTGCGATATTTACACAATAAAGACTCCTTAACTGAGCTCATTTTTTTTTCACCAAAGAGTATATCTCAAAGAAACATTTTCCTTCGAAAACCATACATCCGTTTTATCCAAATATTTTTCGCAGAACCTTATTATAAATAAAACACATTAAAACATACTATGTTTTTTTTATATAAACAGGGATAAAAATAATGTTATATCTTATATAAACAGAGATAATAATAATAATGACTTTGAAAACGAAGAAAAGTGAGCATGATTTAATAAAATATCATGGAAATAGTTGTGGCACATAAAACTATATGCTATATAGTACACTAGTATTCCTCCGCTAAACAAATAAGCTCAGATTATTCACCCTTGATTACTTTATTATTTTACTTTTAATTATCTATAATTTTATTCTTTATGACATAAGTGGAAACCAAACGCTGAAGTATATATTAGGAAATAATTTAAAATAAATCATTTTATCATGTTCTGTACATTAAAGAAATAGCTAGCACTGGACTCTATTTGTCCTGTCATATTTGACTATAGAAGCAGATCACCATCTCACCCCATTCCTTCTTTATACGTTCACTTTTTGTAAACCAGTCAAAATAGTAGAAACGAAGGAGGAATATTACTTTCTCCACGAGCATTCTTTACAATATTACTATACTTAGAACGTTTCCAAAAATGTTATGTTACTTAACTTTTATCTAAGAATTTTACACTTTTACTAAATGCATTTGTTAAGTTATTAATAGTTAGTTTCCTCTAAGACTGCCTACGTGTAGCAAGGCGACCCCAATTTGTATCTTGCAGTAAAAATACAAAGCATGCAACTAAATGTAATATTTCTGTTTCTATACACACCCACTTTTTAAAACTATTTTTGTGTCCAAGTCCTGTCTTATTGCCTTCAGAATTTACAGATTTATAATAAAATGTTGTTATCTCTGAGGGCAAGACTTTTTCATATAATATATATACACAGACACACACATATATATATATATATATATATTATGTTTTTTATCTTAACGTCGCTAATCAACTGAAAAATATGTTTAGTCTCCAACAAAACGTTTAACTTGAATCTAAAGCACATACTTGATCCGGATTTTAACTTTTAACGCCCTTCTATCCCTCGTCAACAGGTTTAATAATATATATAAAAACTGCACAATTACTGCCAGGACTAGCGAAGCTGCACCTAGGTAATCCTGTTTCCTGGTTGACAAGGACTAGTAACGTGGCGTCGGTAGTCTTTGGTTAGAGGAGCTATTATCACGAATCGCTTTGTGACCAGCAACCTTGGCCAATAAAGAGGTCTGATAAGGCTCTGGATAAGCAAGACATTGCCTAATATATTGTTGAGTGAAGTAGATACGGATCGCTGTTTGTAATTTAATTTTTTTATCTTTTTTTTCATATAGTTTATTCGACGTTTATTTATTTTTTGTTATCTGTCTTGCTTAACGTTGGATTCTATATTATTGTAAAAATATTTTTTTAAGTTCACGAGGTTATACAAAATAAGATTTGTATCATTATCTAAAGCAAATTTTAACTTGAAACTCTAGATAGCGAAAACCTAATAATTCAAGTAAAAATCCTAAATATTCACGTGTAACTTCATACTTGTGTAAATACGAGAGAAAATATAACGCTTGAATTACTTACTGATTTAGGCAATGTTACATAACCCATTGGTTAGAAGGACAAATCACATACTTGGGTAGTGACAGCTGTAGTATTACTGTAAAAAAAGTGTCCGGAAATTATGTAAACAAAAATTTTGTTTGCTTCAGATACAGAAGTCTTAAATCTCTGCAACAATGCTACTAAACTTTCATTAGACCAACGGAGAAGCATTGCAGCATGCACGGAATATCACGACAGCGTGACACGGGCCTGACAGGACTTTCAACATATTCAGAGATAAATGTTAATTTACTCATATAGTTTTCTGATATATGTACTACATGTTTTATTTATTTGTATTCTTTAATGTTCATGTAAAGTGCATAATATGTTTACATAAAATGTAACCTTTAGGCATATGTTTAATAAATTTAGCTGTTTTAAATTGTTAGTGAACTAAAAAAAAAAGTTATAATTGTGACGTAATTTACACGAGCAGAGATGATGTACAGAGTTATGACTGATTGTTGCCGCTCCAAGATAAACGCACAAGAGGTCTTGAAGATTATGTAAATACGTTAAATGTGTGTATTATACGTAGGCGATGTTTCCCTTATTGCAACTTGAATGGGCGATTATAATTAGCTTCTGTAGAAGCAGCCTCAGGTTAAACGTATTAAAACCATAAACAAACGCTCTAAAAGTGTCTTTGAAATATTTCATACAATGACGCCTATTTCTATGATGATGTATCACAGACAAGCCCAGCAGAAAACATGACATAAGATTCATCTTGATAGACTAGAATTTTAGCAAAGAAAGAATAAGAGCCTGTATAGAAAAAGTATGGAGCAAAAATCAGATTATATGTATGTCAAACACGTCTTCCTAATGCTACCCATATAATTGTGTTATGCGTACAAAGTAGTTTCTTGTTATAAAACTCGAAACATAATTTTTGTTATACAGCGATTACTAAAATGCAATTTTCGAATAAAAATTAATGATGGCGTTTTAAACTAAGAATGTTCTTGAAATATAGTGGCATCCGATAGATGTCGCTTGTTGAACAACAGAACAGGATATTAAAATTGGTGCTTCGTAATATTTTAGATAATAAAACGATTGGCGGTAATACATCAATTCTTTTAGCTCTGCGGTGTTAAAAAACATAGAATATTTTATTTTCTTCATCACTTGCACTTCATTTCATTCAACAGTTTTTAGTAGATAAGACATCATTAACGAAACAAAATCCGCTTTGGATGTCATTATTCATAGTAATAAATTAGGCACTGCATTGAAAAGTCTAAGCCTACATTAAGTGTTTATGTATAGCATATATATAGTTTTCTTTACATTCATCGATGTTTATAATCTTCGGAGGAAAATGTTGACATATACACAAACTTTAGGATATATCTAAATCACTTACCTACTAAATTTTTTCTTATGTTAAACATAGATGTTAAATATTTCAAGGTTCTTGATTGTCCGTTCGTTTAATTTTGAGGGCACCATTTTTTTTTTTGAAAAGTTACATAAATAAGTCTTCGAATGACCAATCGAAATGAATGTATAAGTCAGTTGAGTAAAACTGGTCCCACTCTCGCGTTACACCTGTATCTGGCAAGCTATAGTAATATCGAAATGTCGATATAAAAATAAGTGCTTACATACAAAGCTAAGTTATTTTCTCGAGGAACTAAATCTGTCATGGTTTGTAAGGAAAATTCAAATATTCTCGACTCTCTTGGTAGAATCTAGTGTTTATCTACTTCATACAGCTGTATGTCTTTTCATATGGAGCGACAGATGGTCCGACCTGGAAAATGCACGCTCACATAGGCGGCACTGGAAAGGTCTGTCACCAGTATGTTTTCGGTAGTGTCTGGTCAGTTCGTCTGAGCGGGCGAATTTCCAGCTGCATCCTTTCCACGTGCACTGGTAGGGTTTTTCACCGGTATGAGTTCGGAGGTGAGCCTTCAGGTGCGAACTCTTTGTGTACATTTTATTACAGCCCGGATAAGAGCAGGAGTGACTTGTGACCTTTTTTCGCCCAACATTACGACGACCTTTTTTGTTCTTGGCTTGAGAGGGATCAGGCAGCTGAACCATATTCGTTGTTGTCACATATCCATTTCTAGCCATATTGGTTCCACTTAGAAGGTCTACAAGATGAGGAGATGATGGCGGTGTCATCATCCTAAGGTGTTGCTGAAGCTGTTGTTGTTGTTGCTGTTGGATGGGATGACGAGGAGCTGGAGCTATAAGACGACCCACCTGGTGTAAGAGGGGCCGTTGCGGTTGTGTCACTGTTGATGAAACAGTTAGAGGAACTGATGTACAAACATCTAAATTTGTAGAAGGAACTTTCTGTTGAAAGTGAATAGCTGTTCTTTCTGGTGATGCTGGCGGCGATATCTGGCTTGACACGAACGCCATCTTGTTATTATCATCATTATTATTATACTGTGTCCAAGAGAGACCTCCATAGGATGCCTCTACCGTTGAAGTTGGACAAATCCCTACATTATAGGCTGAGCTCGTTACACTTGAAGACATTGATTGAGTAGGGACATGACCTAATTGTGAGCGAAACGTTTCACAACTAGCGGTAGAAGTGTCCACGGAAGTATGGTAAAACGGGAGGATCTGTTTCTGCAAAACATCTGCGTGGTTCTGTGTTTCAGTATAAAGACTTGTTCCGTCAGGATTGAGCACAAAGTCTAGATCCAGTAGAAAGTCATCAATGCTACTCTGAAGCTGAATTTGTTTTTGTTGCCTTTGTTTCGGCTGCCACTCCTGCACAAATGCACCAAAGTTGACCTGTGGGTGCTGCTGCAGTTCCTCTCTTTGAGTCTGGGGCAATATCTCAACCCTTGGAGGAATATGTAAAAAGGAAGCACTCGTATTCGGCTGCATCATTTTGAAGTTGTGGTCAGAGGGCTGTGAATCGACTAGCAACACACTCTCTATGTCATGCCACATCTGAAAGGATTAAATATTCCCAATAAGTTAAAAATAAAGCCATCTGTTGGTTTACTATAGATTTGTAGTTAAACAATACGTAAAGAAAGAAAACTTTGATTATTCTTTCTATAAAAATGTTATCACAAGGAAAATTTAGAAATATTTTGCGGGTTCAAACATTTTAGATGTAAAAAATCAATTTTCATCAGTTCAGAGTGCTAAGATATAAAAGTAAACATATAAATACACTGTAGAGCGATCACTTTTCAGTACTGAATTTTTTTGTTTTTAAAGGGTGTAATTTATTGAAAATATTCACCTCACATGAAGAAATAATGTTACATAAAAGCATCTTTTGGTATGTCACTCCTTTTGCGAACACTTTTTAAAATATATTTATTCGTATTAATGAATTAAAAGCGTTTTTCTATGAGTCACCTGCAGCAGTTTGGTTTGCATTATATAAATTTCATCAATACCAAGATGCTGTAAAGTTAGTCTGACACGTTAAAGAGTTAAAACTGAAACTAAGAATCAAACAAGGCTTAAGAACCAGACTCTTCAAACTCCATTAATTAAAATTTTGTATCCTAGACAAAATCGCTTTTGACCTAAGTCCACTTCAACTGCGATTTTTATGTTTTCTAGTATTGTATTTACCCTGAATTGTGTAATAATTTTTACTTTTAATTATTTGATGACAATTTGTTTTATTTAATAATATTGTTTTGTTAGAGAATGTGGCAATACTGACCAACAACATATTTAATATGTCTTGCAAGACTAGCGGAACATTATCTCGTAACAGGTAGACGATGCTTTGAAATTATATTCGTTTTCATCACGATGAGACACTAAGCTAACCAAAGACATAGAATTGCTAGTCGGTCATGACGATACTGTTGGAACACTTATAACGCCGAGCCTCACCTCTTCTTATTAGGATTCGCTTACTACCTATCTAACCACAATACTTTCATTACTTGACAGAAGAAGATACAACTTTCGAATTAAATAAATACAACAAATAATACAACCTAATTCAAAAAACTGTTTATATGAACCCAGTAACACGTCGAATTGTTAAAACCAAAACTGTGAAATCATACGAGGCTTAAGAACCAAACTCTTCAAACTCCGTTCATTAAAATATGTTATCCTAGTCGAAATCGCTTTTGACCTAAGCCTACTTTATCAAGCTACTCTTTTCCAGACTCCTGATTTATAATCTTATCCGACAGTAACCGTCCTGCGGTAATCTATTTAAAATTCTTAGCACATTATCGCCACCACATTTAAGAATGGCATGCAAAAAATATAGTATCATTACTCTTCTGAATCAGTTACGTGTACACACGTAAAAAATAGAAACTGTAAGACGTTTCTTGTTTCACACTTTGTATCCTCGGGAAATTTTCTCAAAGCTCGCGAAAATATCCATATCTCCACATCAATTTGTTTAAAGGGTCCCTTTATCTCTCTGACAAAGTTATACATACGATGTTTGGCAACTCCTGATGCTTTTTATCTAAAGAAGTCGATTTTGTTTTACCAAATAACTTTCATTTCATGTAATTTGGTTAATGCCAGGTTAATGCCTTCTTTCTCTATCTCTACTTCACACACAAAACTCTGCCAGCACATTTTATTAATTTCAAGGAGCTAAACATAATAGTTTTAAATTAATTAATTAGAGTTAAGGCGAAATCGAGTTCTTGCACCCACAGTTTATTGAATGTTTGCATGATATTATGTGTATAAGTGACCTAGTTTCATAAAAATTATTATCATATATACCGTATTTTTCGGAATATAAGACGCACCGGTGTATAAAACGCACCCTTATTTTGAAGACAAAGTTTTTTGGGGGAAAAAAAGCTACAGTTGCATTTGAAAGATTTTTATTGAATAAAAATTCAGTTTGATACTTTAAAAATTAGTATATATTGTTCTAAACACAAAAGATAT